CCCCAAAACCCCAAAACCCCAAAACCCCAAAACCCCTCGAAATATTAATTTTATTGAAATTTGGAATTAATTTTACAGATTGACCTTTAAGGCAAGTCCTTAATGCTCTTTTTGGTTAAGATTACTTTATCAATATTCCAATCCCTTATTTCTCTCTTCGTGATCTTTGAATTAAGCGTTCTACTAGCTAGGGAGTTACGACAACAATCTTACCTAAGGCTTTTCGAATTTTAAGAAAATCATTACATAAGTTCTTGGCTGCATGATGAGGAGGCACTTTTTCAAACATCTTCTTGTCATTCTTGATGTATCTAGACCTGAGGAGGTGTTACATACTTGGTATATTTACTTGAAAGTTTCTTCTGAAACTCTTTACGCTGCTGTTCAATAATTTGCTTCGCCTTCATGAATATCTGAGATCTCTTATTTTCTCTTGTCCTTCTCTTGATTTATCAGATTATCGTGACATTTACTGAAGTTAATTTGAAAGTTACTTTTGTTTATTTTCTAATCTTAACAATAGCTTCATTTGTTGAGAAAGCAGATATATATTTACCCATCTGAGTCTTTGTTCTGAACCGATTGCATGCATGACTTGGAGAGCTCATAGAGTTATTAGAGACCTCAGTTTTCTTCTTGAATACTAAAGTTTTAAGAAACCATACATGGTATCGACTCTTGCACAATAAGGGACCTTTGGAAATCAGAGGAGCCCAGGTCGCCTTTGTCATAGTTGGTAGATTCATTGCTTTCAATATCTGCAGATACTAATGGCTTTCTGGTTTCGTTCTGGGAACTGGATCTTTTCTGACCTACAGTGCTTAAATCTGTAGAAATACTTCTAATAATAGTTTTTAGCTTGGTATCAACTTTCTTTTGCATCTCCTTCATTATCTTGAAACTAAGCCATTAATACATTGCTTACGAAGAGTTTTTAAGAAGGTTCAAAATTTGAGGATCATAGTCCTTCTGGAAAGGGCTGATTCCGTCTCATAAACTATTCGACCTTGCTTGGAAATTTGTCCTAAGAAGATTAGAATATTAGCAAAAGGTTTGTAGATAGAGGAGTTAAAGCTAGATCTGAGTTCATAGAGTGCAACTCGAGATCTTGATACCTTGGCTGATAACTGTATTTAATTTAAAACATAGTGATTATGAACGTGCAAAGTTGTTGATTGTCCTTACTTCACAGCCTTCTTCACTGGCATTGGAAATAAGTTATTATAGTAAGCATATTTTCTTTTCTGGGTCTTCATTTTCAAAAATATTAATATATGTTGGGGTTTTGGGGTTTTGGGGTTTTGGGGTTTTGGGGTTTTGGGG